TAAAAAAAGAATGAAAGGGTTACAATGGACATGTTTTCAGTTTTCCTTTTAGACAAAGTCATCTTTTCAACATCTTTTTAGCAGCATTTTAAAATTTCAGAAGAAGGGGCTGGGGATTGAGCTCAGCGGCAAAAAGCGCCTGCCTGGCAAGCGCGAGGTCGTGAGTTCGGTTCCCGGTACCGGAGAAAAACCAAAAAATAAAAATAAAATAAAATAAAATAAAAAAAAAAACAACCTTTATACTGTTAAATTTGGTAAAAGAAATAAACTTACAGGTTTTAGAAGCACAGCAAATCTCAACAGGTTAACTTCATTAAAAAACTATGTGGAGGTACATTATAATTAAACAGTACATTATAATTAAAAAGTAAAATAATTAAATAGTAAAAATTTCAGCAACTAGATGAAATACAGTACATATAAGGGGATGATTTATATGATCACAGATTTCTTGTCATAGATCATAAAAATAAGATATTAATGAATTAATGTACTTAAAGCACTGAAAGAAAAGATCTATTAACCAAAATATTTTTCAGGAAGAGAGGCAAGATAAAACTAATAAAAACAGATAAGGAAAAACTAATAGAATTTTCCAGAAGATTGTTCTAAAAGAAATATTTGAGGTAATATACCAAAATAAAACCCATTTTGTATAACTAAAATGCACTAAAAACAAACAATGATATAAAAATACAAAATATTTTTTAAAAAGAAATATTCAAGGGAGCTTTTTAAGGTGAAGAGAAATGCTGAGTAAAAAATCTGTATCTTCAGAAATGAAAGAATAAGTAGTTGAGTAAATATAAAGTCTCTTTTTTCCTCTTAAATTTATGAAAGTATTTATATTTTAAAGTAAAAGGTACATTGTCTGTAGAGTATTCAATAAATGAAAATAACTGCAAAAAGATTAAGGCAGGGGAAGTAATCTTGTTTGCAATATTTCTATAGTTTATGTGCAATGACACAAAGTTAACTCCAAGAAGATTATAAATGGTTAGATATGCATATTGTACTCCATAGAGCAATCACTAAAAAATTAATGCAAATACATATCAGCCAGGGTTGAGAAGTAGATTACAATGAAATACTAAAAAAATTCAGAAAATCCAAAAGAAGGCAAAAAAAGGAAAATGAAATACACAAAGGACAAACAAAATAATAAAAAAAGTTGTTTAAATTAATTTTCAGATAATTTAATCTATGCTTATAAAATATACATAGCTCTAATGAAGTGGCAGATATATGCAGAGTGAGTAAAAAAGCAAGACCCTACCTCGTACACGTCTGCCTAAAAGTCTATAATAAAGGCATATTACATTAAAGACACAGATACTGAAAGCAAATATATAGAAAGAGCATATACCAATATAAACAGTAAGCATAAGAAGACTATAATAGTAAACTCCTTTTGAAAGCAGTCTGGTAGTTTCTTTAAAAACTTAAGCCTATGATCTCACTATTCTCCTATGTATTTGCCAAAGAAAACAAAACCAAAAAATGTCCATCAAAAGTTTTGTACCTTGACTGCATCATAATAGGTTTATTTACAACAACAAAAATTATCTTCATGAAAAACTACAGAAAATAATTAGGAGCTATAGTTGACCAAGGGTTCCCAAATTTCAAACTGTACAGATTTTGGCATCCCTTTGAAATCGACTGAATATCTTTTGTTAATTATTTTTCAGCCATTTAAGCCCAAGAATTAGCATCCTTTTAAATACTGTTATGTGCTGTATGATGATATTTCGCATTAGGGACTGTACATATGATGCAACCCCATAAGAATATGTTGTCTAGTAATGCTGTAGCCAATTTAATTTCTGTAGACCCAAATAATGGCACTGCCTAAAAATATATTTCTCAGGATATGGCCTGTTGTTTAATAGTGAGTGAGCTTTTTTAAAAAAAAAAAAGTGAAATAATTATAGATTCAAAAATAGTTACAAGAGCAGCACAGAGGGCTTCCATGCAGCCATTGCTCAGCTTTCCTTTCTAAGATTTAACTATCACATGTTATCAAACTCAGGAAATCAACATCAGCAAATTATGATTAACTAAACTGTTAGGTATTTTACTTTAACATTCAAAAACCTGAGTAAAATAAACAGAAAAATTCACATACAAGTTATGTAAACACATTTAAGAGTAGTTTGATGAATTTTTGCAGGATCAAACACGCCCCGGAAACCAGTACTCTAACAAGAAGCAGAAAATCACCAGCACTCGTGAATCATGGCCTGGGTTCCCCTTCCTGACCCTCTCCTCCAAATTTCTCATAGTACATATTAGGGTTACTTTTCTGTAATTGTAAAAATACTCATAATACACATTTCTAGTACTCAACTGTGTGAATGTATCATAATATATCATAATTTGCTCATCCATTCTACTGCTGCTGAGTATTGTAGTAGTTCTAATTTTGAGCTCTTGTGCATAATGCTTTCAAGAATACCCAAGTACACAGATTTTTGGTGAATGTGCACATGCATCTGTGTTGGGTTCATAACCGGGAATGGAACTGCTGGGTCACAGCGTATGTATTTACACAACTTTAGTAGATATGGCTATTTAGTTTTCCAAAATGTTAATTTATACTCCCATCAGTAATGTACAAGAAGAGTTCTTGGTCCACATGTGTTTCATTCTACCTACTAGGGTAGATATTTTATGCTTCAGAAAGGAGAATTATGGAATCAAATATCAAGCAGAATAGTAGTATAAACAAAGTACTAATTCTTATCCAATATTCCAGAATCTGTCCAAGGTATTTTACAAAGAAAAAAATAGGAAATTCCAGAATTTCTCTTAAGACATTGTCTTCTTAAATTAAATCATCTTGAATTGATGCTATGGCTATATTTTTTAAATGTGTCTCATACTGTGAATTACCTCAGATGCTTGCTATAAATACAGAATCCTGGGCATCTTTCCTAAAAACCCAAGGGAATTCTTATTATCAGGCAAGTCCAGAAAACACTACTATATCAGAATTTCTTGACATTCACACCTGTTTCAAAGTGTATAAATAACTATTCAGAGTATAAATGACTATTCTCAGAACTTATTTATAGAATTCAAGCTTTCTAGATCTTGTCAACTTTTGTAGTAACTTTGGAGGCAAATATTACCCTATTGGCTGGGTAAACTGAGACCAAAGCACCTTGTTCTAGGACCTTCATTAACATGAAAACCATTGTAGAAGATTATATTTGATAGATAGCCTCACTAATATTTATCATCTTCAAAAGAAGTCCATTGTACTGCTCACTAGAGTCATAAAGAGTCTGTAACTGAAAGGATACCCAGCGCTACATAAGAGAAAGAACCCAAGAAGTGGAGTTGTAAAACTTGGTTTTAAATCCAAGTGCAACTATCATCTGTGGAACCCTGAGTAAGGCAGAATACCCTTTCTACCTGCTTCTCTACAAAATGGAGGAAATACCACCTGTCTTCTACTGTTGCTGACAGTGTTGATGAACAAAGTTAAGATGAACAAAGGAGATGAATATATAGTAGAAAATTAACAAATTTATTTTTTCCTTTTGTAATTGCCTTTGCAGAAATTTCTAGGTTTCTAGGTAACTACTCACCTGTAGGTGTAACTTTAATTTGTACTGATTACCTGTGTATAGCAACTCAACTTCTGTTTAAAAAAATGAATTAAAACAAAGAAACTGTAATTCCATATTTTTCTTTATTTTCATCTCTACTGGTGGAAACCAGCAGTTCTGTAACTTATGGCTGAAAATGATTATAAAAATAATTTGGCAAAATGTAGTAACAAGAAGTAACTTGAGGTAAAATTACAGAAAACTGCAATTTTAAAATGAAGTTGATCTCTTCCAAAGCTAAAGAACATTGCTGAAGGCAATATACAAATAATTTTTTTTTAAAAAAAGATACTAAAACCATTTGAAAATGCCAACATTTCAATTTAGCCTTTTAGACAGCTTTCTAACATCAACATATTAAGTAGGCAAATGGCATTTATTCTGGAGATCAAAATGTTCAGGCATCATATTTCATTTGTAAGAAGCTTATGAAAACCACTTACATAAAAATAGATCTAACTCTGTGAACTGAAAAGCAGCCCACCACGTTTGGGCTATATGGCCATGGAAAGCCGTTTCACACAATCTGCCAATTACTACATGTAAAGGGTAATTAAGAAAGGTCCCTGTTATTCCAAGCCTCCTTTAGCTCTCTGTGGTTTGGACCATCTACTTGTAAAACTGATGAAAAACTGGAAAACATTACCACTTATTTTATAAAATAGCATAGTGAGACTTTTACTTCTGAGGAAATTTGTAAATAGTAAGTTGATGTCATCTGTGTATTAAAATCCATCATAACAACCTAAAAGTCGGGAAGCTCAGTTAACAATGACCCTGCCAATGATCTGTGTAATTAAGGGCGAATCCCTCAAGCTCTGATGCCTCAGTTTGCTCCTCTGTAAAATGTGAACAATGTCACTGCAGGGGCTTCATAGGGTGTCCTGGAAAGTGAGGTGCTTGGAACACCGTCTGGCACTGCATGTGCTTGGTAAGTACTGAGTGACTGTTAAAGGTGGAATCAGAGCAGTACTGAATAGCTCAAAACTCACGGGGCACTGTCACGCCATAGTGCTGTGTGTCGCTGATAAGCAGCTTCCGCTTCAGTTCATTCAGTCCTACTCCAACGGGACCTGGAAAACGGGACAGCAGAAATTCATTACCAAACAAAACATCATCTAGACATTGCTGCAACTGACACGAATCCCTAATCAAACTGAACACAGGGATCCAATCTTGCACTCCAAGTAAAGAGGTGATATCTATTTAAATTGTACATAAAAACAACAGCTAGAATTTTTTTTGTTGCTTTTTTTTCTTGAGACAGGGTCTAACTGTGTAGTTCAGGCTGCCTTGAACTCAATATGTAGCTCAGGTTGGCCTCGAACTCAGCAATCCTCATGCCTCAGCCTCTCAAGTGCTAGGATTACATGTGTGTGCCACCACACTTGGCTTCTTTTGTTGCTTTTTTTACTTTTAAATTTAAATCTCTCAAAAATGTTAGAAATGCTTTAAATGAAACATGATCATATCTGAATATATTAAAAAGTAATGATACACAAGTCTAAAAGTTATGTGCACCACCCAAAAAAAGTATTACACTCTACAGCGTGATAATTTCAATTTTAAAGTTTTACATCTTAATGAAAGAAAGTCTTTGACCTTGACTATTTTGGATGCAAATTCAAATTATGCATTTTAAATCTGCAAAAAAACATTTAACTTTGTCGAGGCCGTCTGTATTGTATTACTGCAGTATATTTTCTACACTATATTACTGCACTATACTTTCAGGTGCTCCTTAAGCATTTGAAAATATACACTGACCTTACACATTTAAATCAATCACTGAGTAAGTACTGAACACCCATAATGAGCAAGGCATATGGTAAATGTTATGGTAATAAAAGATGATAAATGAAATCTGTTTTCAAAGAAAATAACTGGTTAAGATACTGTAGCCAAGAGGACAAAAAATGGTTTCAAATACAAGGCTCAAATCAAAAGTTAAAAGCGCTTAAGTCCAAATAGCCATCATTCTTTTTCTATCTCAAAGCATCTCTCAACTCTATCACTAGGGTCTATGTAAGGGCTGTGTGGTGCAATGGGCAGAGCACAGGCTACAGGGCCAGCTGTCCTAAGCCAAGCTTCCATATGCTACTCCTGCTCCTGGGACACTGGACAAAGTGAAGGCCAGAGCCCAACCTGATGCCATTCTCATTCTAAGAGTGGTAATGCTCTCTCCTGGGAGGAAGGGATGAGAACACAGGCACCAAGCCTAGCACAAAGCCCAGGTACTGGACTGTCCATTCCCTCACCTGTCGTCTCTTCTTCCAGCCCAGGTGGGTCAGAGCCATCTTCAAAAATAATAAAGTTTAATGCCAGACACAATAAAGGTGAGTGGAGAACAGGGCAGGCATTCTGGGTGGAGGGAAGAGTCTGAACACAGATGAAGAGGCAGGCATTTCCCACCTCTGTATAAAAACACTTGTTCCTCTGTGTTCATTCACTACCGCCATCTACTTTCCCCCACACTACTTTCAGATACCAATTTTCCAGCAACTTTCTCTTGTTCTCTAAGATAGTGGCTCTCAACTCTCTCTTTTATAACACATGCTCCATAATATCCCATTGATATCCTGAAGTGGAACTGACAGCTAATAAAACTTATACACACTGCTGCCCTCTTCAAATTAATGTATTTCCCTAACAATAATATGTACAAGACAGAACATAATTTAGAATGAAACAATCTGTATTTCAACATGTAAATATATAGCATGATCAGAGCAGAAAATGTGACAAAAGCAGATGTTATAATAATAAGTTTGGATTTAAAAGATCAGAAGCCGTTCTGGACAAGAAAGTATGGGAAAATGAAAGCATAGAGGTACAGGTAAATTGAGAATTTAGACTAGCATTTGGATGGAAACTACAGACAAGGTCTACTTGGACATGGCAGGGAAGAAGCAACCTTAATTGAAATAAGGATGATAGATCAAGATTATTAAAGTGTAGGCAGCAATACAAATGTCTGGGTTTGATCTTTAAGGGTACTGTAAATTGTGGGTGGCAAACAATGTAAATTGCCATGGCTGTTACAGAAATTAGTAGGAGGTTCCTCAAAACATGAAAATTAGAACTGTCATGTGATCTAGCTATCCCACTACTGGGTTTCCATCTGAAGGAAATGAAAAGCCAGTACACAAAACAGGTACCTGCATGCCATGTTTACTGTAGCAGCATTCATAACACTGAAGATGTGGAGTTAGCCTAGGAGCCCGTCAATAGATAAATGCATAAAGAAAATAAATATGGGCTATATATACAATGAAGTATTTTTCAGACACAAAGAATGAAAGTTTATCATTTGCAAGACAATGGATGGAACTAGAAAATATCATGTTAAGCAAAATTCAGACACAGAAAAAAAAGTATTGTATGCTTTATCTGATATGTGAAAGCATGGATAACTTGAAAGTAGAAGAGGGACCAGAAGGAATGGGAAGGGGCCAGGGAAGGGAGGAGAGAGCAGGGAATATGGACATAATCAATGCACAATATATGCAAGTATGGAAATATCACAGGGAATGCGTGAATTTGTGCAATTAATATATTCATGATTACAAAGTGTTATGGTTGATACATTGTGCCAACTGGGAGAGTCTAGAGGTTTGGCTAAGTGACTCAGCAGTTCTGCCTCTTGGGGTGAAAAGGACACGCCCTTACCCTTCTGGGATGTTGTTTATTGTGTTAATTGGAGAAGTTTAGAAGGTTAACTATGCAATTCAGAAGGGGTCCAGGGTGCTTACTTTGTATTCATCCTGAGCCTGTGCAAGAGGCAGGCATGCAGAGGGTGTGGGTGTAGAGGATGAGCCCCACCTCCCCAGAGTGGGTAGACTGCATTTAAAAAAAAAGGAATTGAGGAAGGACTGGCTGCTGGTTCTTCAGAGGAGCTCCAGTCTTCGCCTTCAGCTTGGTCGTCTCCTGGCTTCTGGTGCAGACTGTTGGGCTTCCATCTGGACTCTTCAGCCTTCTGGTGTTGGCTCTCCGGCCTTCATCGTAGATTCTTCAGCATTCGGTCGCAGACCCATCAGCCTTTTGATATGGACTTGCAAGGACACTGCAGTGAGCTCCAGGCCCGAGGCTGGGCTCTTCAATCTCCAGCATGCAGACACCCTCTGCACGCTTCCTCATCCAACTCTGTAGCTGACCATTGTAAGCCAAACTTGTAATTCCTTGTACATTTGTTTATCTTGTATTATATCTGTTCCTCTAGTAAACCCTGACTGATACACAATGAAAAAATAGTATAAAAATAACACCCATGACGTGGGACCATGGTTCAGTGTTGCAGAAAACTCTCATCTTGAAACCCCATCACACATGAAGTTAGCTTTACAGTTGCTGAAGGTCTAGTCCAACATTTGGAAGTCATAATGGACACAGGTCAGGTCTTTGTTCCACAGAAATGTCAAGCCTACACTTCGGGGCCCTGAGCCATTTGGACAAATAAATAAATACATATACATACATACATATATGAAATCTTCATGAATGGTCCAAATGCTCCCCTGTGGGCAGTGCCACCCTGGCGAGAACCATGGCTCAGAGATAAGCACTTGTTCCTGTGATTCCCTCACCTCAATCCCTGCCATTATCATGGGTAGCATCAACATCCATGAGAGGCTCCCTTCAAAACACTAGCCTCCCACCAGGACACCTCATTCTTCCTCTACTGTATACAGAATCAAATGCTCGTTCTGTGATATGTTCATATCCATAGCATTTTATGAGCCACTCTCGGAGCTCTAACCTCCTCACTTCACGCTGTACATGCATCTTCTGCTCCCTGTAATGCAACAGGTTCTCCTTCGTGTCATACCCTCATGCACAAGGCTTGCATTTCCAAGAACCTTTCTGTCTTCTCTTCACCTGTCTAACTCTCACTTGTTGTTTAGGATTCAGTTTAAATACACCTTAAAGGAATCTTCCCTGGGACAAAGTTTGGATTAGGTGCCAATTCCATATGTTTCTTGTACTTCCATTTTCCAGGGATTTACCACACTATATTCCAACTGCCTGTTTACATGTTTTGATCTTCTGAAAGACTGAGGTTTATGAAAACAGGTTTGCCAAACCTTGTTTACCACCTGTTTCACAGCTGGTGAATTACAGTCCCTCATTAGACAACTTATTTAGTCTTTTATTTTGTAGCCCTGCAATGAAATTCAAGGTATCTCACATACTAGGCAGGCACACTACCACAGGGCTACATGCTAGCAACTAGATTATTAACCTAAATTACATAGGATAATTATGCCATTATGGAAGTAAAGCTCTTTGTTGAATAAACAGGAGTGGGAGTTAAAAAGTATTTGTACTTAAATCATCTCGAGGTGATGGTTACGTACTGTGTTCATCAAGGGAAATGAGAGAAGCTGGAGGAACTCACACTTGAATTTCGCACTCTATCTTAAGATAGGGAAAAGCAAGGGATACAGTGACGCATCTACCCCAGCTACCACGTATTTGGAAATCCAGCTCACTACACTCAGACAGGATTCACAAGGATTCCCTTTGTGAATGTATTCCCATCAAGGTAAAATCCAAGATGGTAGGATCAGACGAGATCTCCCAGGGAGAAGAGGAAAAGGATGAGCACTGATTGTCAACAGTGTGCCAGGCACCACATAAAGGCTTATGCATTTTATCTATTCTAAGGATACAAAAGGTTTAGAGGGTTCTAAAACATAATTGTTAAAATAAATAGAAAATAAACAGAAATATAAATGGCATTACAATTGAACTAGCCTCTATGTATAGATGTAGTAGATCCAGTTATATATGCTCAAAAAAAGTAAACAAAATACTTCAATATAAATAGAGGCTCCTGGCCTGTCTACCTCCCACTCTGTCTAGCAGACACAGGATTAAAGGAAGTGGCATGAATTTCACATTTCTTTAGTACATCTCAGCTCTGGGAAGGCTTCCTAGAGTATGAGATACTTTGCTGAGTACCTAGCACTTTCTTATTTCATCTATTACCCAAGTCAAACAAAACAAAAAAATACAGTAACTTATTTTAACTTGGGAAGAACCCAGGTATATTTCAATTAATAGGAAAAAGTCC